CTTGGGGGCCTCGTCCTTCCTTGTGTGAGTGCCTCGGGCCCCTCATTGTGTGTGAGTCGTTCGGGCTCCTCGTGGTGTGAGTCGTTCGGGCCCCTCGTCCTGGTGTTCGTCGTTGAGGCCCTTCCTTGTGTGTGAGTCGTTCGGGCTCGCCGTGGTGTGAGTCGTTCGGGCCCCTCGTCCTGGTGGGATTCGTTCGGGCGCCTCCTTGCGTGTGAGTCGTTCGGGCTCCTCGTGGTGTGAGTCGTTCGGATCGCTCCTCCTGGTGTGCGTCGCTCGGGCCCCTCCTTGTGTGTGAGTCGTTCGGGCTCCTCGTGGTGTGAGTCGTTGGGGCTCCTCGTCCTGGGGTGAGTCGTTCGGCCTCCTCGTATGGCCTCTTGGGGGCCTCTCGGAGTGTCTCGGGGCCTCTTGGGGGCCTCTTGGGGGGTCTCCTGGGGGGCCTCTTGGGGGCCTCTTGAGGCGTCTTGGGGCTTCTTGGGGGCCTCTTGGAGGCCTCCTGGGGGGCCTCTTGGGGCTTCTTGGAGGCCTCTTGGGGGCCTCGTCCTTCCTACTAGTGGGCGTGCCTCGGGCCCCTCATTGTGTGTGCGTCGTTCGGGCCCCTCGTCCTGATGTGCGTCGTTCGGGCCCCTCCTTGTGTGTGAGTCGTTCGGGCTCCTCGTGGTGTGAGTCGTTCGGGCCCCTCGTCCTGGTGTGAGTCGTTCGGGCGCCTCCTTGCGTGTGAGTCGTTCGGGCTCCTCGTGGTGTGAGTCGTTCGGGCCGTCCGTCCTGGTGTGCGTCGTTCGGGCCCCTCCTTGTGTGTGAGTCGTTCGGGCTCCTCGTGGTGTGAGTCGTTCGGGCCCCTCGTCTTGGTGTGAGTCGTTCGGGCGCCTCCTTGCGTGTGAGTCGTTCAGGCTCCTCGTGGTGTGAGTCGTTCGGGCCGTTCGTCCTGGTGTGCGTCGCTCGGGCCCCTCCTTGTGTGTGAGTCGTTCGGGCTCCTCGTGGTGTGAGTCTGTGGGGCCCTTCGTCCTGGGGTGAGTCGTTCGGCCACCTCGTGGGGCCTTTTGGGAGCCTCTTCGATGCCTTTGAAGCCTCCTGAGGGCCACCTGCGGGCCTCCTGAGGGCCTCTTGGGAGCCTCTTGGGGGCCTCCTGGAGCGTCTTGGGGCTTCTTGGGGGCCTCTTGGGGGCCTCGTGGGTTCTATTGGGAGCTTCTTGGGGGCGTGTTGGAGGCCTCTTGGGAGCCTCCTGGGAGTCCTTGGAGCCAGCTTGGAGCTCGTGCGATCCCTCTGAAGCGCGAATGAGAGCTGGCACCTGAGAAGGACAGAATAACCCACAACCTTCGTAAAATCAATGGTTGTGCTGTGAAGGAAGAGGAGCGCTGTCCCTCCGAACGCCGAAATGGGGCCGAAACATAGAGTAGATTATATTGGCCACTTGTTGTTGTGATGCATGTTTCACTCCTTGCCCCATTGGCCCCGCCCTCGTGGCAGCAGCGTTGTGGCGGCGAACGCTCGAGGACATGCAGATACGGTTGCCACCGCGGACTGCCGCAGACACGCGCCACTGTCGAGCTTGTATTTGCACGATCTCGCCCCCTTTGCGAAATTAGGGCACCCTGTCCCTCGCTGCCAAGGGGGTGAGAGGTTTCGCGATTTTTTGTGAGGAGGTCGATCGGGCCCTCGCCAGGCCTGGAAGACGAACCTCCGATGTTCCTCTAGCGCGCTCGTGCGCAGTAGGCGCGTCGCGCGTTACGCAACGTGCTGGCTGAAGTGCTCCCGCCCTTGCCCATCAAAGAAGGGAAAAGAAAAAACAAAGCAGGAAGAAGGCCTCCCCTAAACGTGCAGGCTTGCAGTGCCACGGGAGGGCCTCCAGAGATAATGCGAGAGTTCGCGTCTGTGTGCGTTGCAGATGCGTGAGTCGTTCCGGCTCTTCGTGGTGTGAGTCGTTGGGGCCCCTCGTCCTTCTTGGTGTGACTCCTTCGGGTCCCTCATTATGTGTGAGTCGTTCGGGCTCCTCGTGGTATGAGTCCCCTCCTTGTGTGTGAGTCGGTCGGGCCCCTCCTCCTGGTGTAACTCGTTCGGGCTTCCCGTGGTGTGAGTCGTTGGGGGCCCGCGTCGTGGTGTGAGTCGTTCGGGCTCCTCGTGGTGTGAGTAGTTCGGGCGCCTCGTCCTGGTGTGAGTCGTTCGGGCCCTTCCTTGTGGTGTGAGTCGTTCGGGCTCTTCGTGGTGTGAGTCGTTGGGGCCCCACGTCCTGGTGTGAGTCGTTCGGGCTTTTCGTGGGGCCTCTTGGGAACCTCTTGGAGCCTCTCGGGGCCTCTTGGGCGTGTCTGGGGGGCCTCTTGGGGGCCTCTTGGGAGCCTCTTGGAGCTTCTTGGGGCCTCATGGGGGCCTCTTGGGAGCCTCTTGGTGACCTCTTGGGGCCTCTTGGGGGCCTCTTGGGGGCCTCTTGGAGGCCTCTAGGGAGCCTCCTGGGGGCCTCTTGGGGCCTTGGGGCCTCTTACGACGTCCTCAGAAGCAGAAATGAGCG